TTGCATTGCGGTGATGTCACACCGCCCCATGAGACCCCCTTAAATGTCACCTTGCAGTCACCTGGATCTGCCAGGACACTGGGAACCAGGGCATGGGGTATGAACAGAGATGAGAAGAAGGCTGTGCTGCAGAAAGCGGGCCTGAGGTTCAGAGAGGGGCACCTACTCACCCACGACAGCACAGCCAGATCAAACCAAAATCAGTGTTCACCTTTGGCCCCAGGACACCAAACCCCAACAGAAGAAAACATACGGGGCAGAGAGAAGGAGCCAAGGAGAGGCATGGTTATTGCTCATCCCGTCGAAACAGACAAACACTCTCTAAACTAGCTAAATGGCTCTGAAGGAAATGGGAATCTATTTTGTCTCCTGTCGCCAGGGCTGCAAATCCTGATATATCTCAGGCTACAGCAGAGAAGCGGATGGCTCAGCACTTGGAGAGATGCCCACACGAGGCAGGAAGTGGGGTGGATGATTCAACAGGTACCTCTCTATTCTGAGAACTGGTCCTGTGATGGGTGAGTGTACACGCAGCTGAAATAAAAAATAATTCTGAATGCCGACCACTGGAACGTACAGCAAGCCTCCCTTTCTTCCGGGGCACGTGGAGCATTCTTTGGGGCTTCAATCCTTCCAGGTTTTCTCTTAAAATTTTGCTGCGATGACAAGACTCAAAAGCTTCCCTTCCTACCAGCACACGTTCCCATGGGATGATAAAATGCTACAAGGCACCAGGTCCCTCACCCACAGTCTCTCTCATCTGTAAAATGGGGGTAATGATTTCTGCTCCACTGAGACAGAAAAGTCCGGTACAGGCCCACAGTTCCTCATCTGAAACCCCCGCAGCTCAATATACTTTATAACTTAGAATTCTTTGGATGTCGGAAAGGTTTTACAGGGAGTCTGCTGCACATCAGGTGATACGCCCAGGGACTATTCCATAAAGCCTTTATTTCTTCTGCAGCAAATATATAAATATTCACACTAAGTAGGATTAAATAAAGTCTATAAATAACCTCACGTCCATCAAGTTTGCCATCAAACGCTTGCCCCGACCTCATGAAAAAGCCTCCTTGAACTCCCATCCCAAAAGCACTCTAGCCCAAATCGTTCTCTAACGCACGGCCCTGTTGTAATGTCTTCACCTACTTCTCACATCTCTGTGCCCTCGCCCATTTTCTGCCTCCCCCCACCAAAAGACACCCTCCTTGAGGGCAAGAGCCTCACCCACTTTGCTCCCTGCTGCCTCCTCCACATCTAGGTCTCTCCTTACAAGGCACACAGAGGGTGCTCCGTGAATGCTGGTTGAATGAGTAAACCAATGAAATTCCAGTTCTGTCTCTCACTGGCTGTGTGACCTTGGGTTAGTGACCTTTCCAAGCCTCATTTTACCATCTGTAAAATTGGTATTAAAATATTGTAGTCATGAGGCTCAAATGAAATTCATGACTTTGTCATTTAGAAATTGCTATGCCAACATCAGCCATTATTAGCAATAATAATAAGTTACTCAATTGCCCAAAGACAATGTTCGCGCCTCTCCAAACTAGAAAGAGGCTGTACAAGATTCCTTAGAGAAAGGGCCCTTGCCCCCAAACCTATACTTTCTTGGCAAGAATGTTAAGTTTTTTGTGGTGATTTTTGTTGTGTTTTGTTTTGTGTTACAGTTCTAAAAGCAGTGTCTGAAGGCCCTGGGTGCACCAAGCATGTCTTGTGCACACTCTGTGTGCCAGGCACCGTGCTAGGCCATGATAATTCATCCAGGAATAACGCAGCCACATGCTGGAGGAACCCAGGGTCCCGGGTAGGGGAGGTAGGGGACACTGGTGACAGGGTAAGGCACGTGGTAAGAAAGCGATAGAGGGCTCTGCCAAGTGTTATGGACACACGGAGGAGGGGCCTGTCCTCAGAGGTCACTCATGCGCATGCACCAAACAACATTTTCTGAGCACCAACTGCATGACAGGTACCATCCCAGGTGCTGAGGCTACAAGAGTGAACAAGACATGCAAGATCCCGCCTTTCATGAGCAGACAAGAGATAAGTAAATAAACAAGATAATTTGCAATAGGAATGAAAGTTAGGAACCAAACAAAACACTAATGGAATAACAAAAGACTCAGGAGCTACGCTGCCTCCTGAGTTTGGAACCCCAGGTTACCTATACACTGTTGCACCTAGAGCATCTCTCTGTACCTCCATATCCTCATCTGTAAAATGGGGGGAATAATAGGCCATACCTTACAGGGCTGAAGTGGGAATTAAATGACTTAATGTAATGCCTTGGAATAGTACCAGGCACACGGTGGGAAGCTGCAATTTAGGGCTTTGCAGACCACAGGATTTCATCCTCAGGGTGGAGGTGAGCCACTGAGGGTTGTAAGGTCGGGGGAGGGGGTGGTTGGGCATGCTTTGATTTCGCGTAAAGAAAGGTCATGCCAGCTGCCGTGTGGAGAACGGGCAGTGGGATAGGCAGAAAAAGAGACAGCAGGGGTGTCGGTGGGGAGGAGGGGAGCAGAGGCACAATCTCCCACCCAAGCCCAGGGACCTACTACTGACAATGAGACAGGACACTCCAAATCCTTCTCCATCTGGAGTGGGCAGCGACATCTGGGCGAAAATATGGGAAAGATGATTAAACTCTGACACAAGAGAGAGGCTGCAGCAGATGGCCTGTGGGCCCACAGCAAAAAAAAAAAAAGACACAAGAAATTCAGCAAAAATACATCTCCCCTTATATTTTAGAACACATTACAATTTACTAGTGATGTTAGTTTTGCTAACATTTATTGAGTGCTTCTTTATGTGCCCGGGATAATGGGATAAATTCATTTTCTCATTTCCTTCTCACAAAACCCCTACATATTCATTCAACAATTCAACAGATATTACCAGGCACTGTGCTAGGTAATACAGACAAAGCCCCTACCCCCACGGAGCTTACACTCTGTAGGGAGAGATAGAGCTGAAACAAAGAATATCTGAGAAAACAGCGAGAACTATAAAGAAGATCAAGCAGAGGGCGAGGAGAGAAGGAAGGGGCAGCTACTTTAGGAATGATGCTCAGACAGACTTCCATGAGGAGGTAACTCTTGAGCAGAGACACAGATGACGAGAACAAGCGAACCACCAGTAAGTCTGGGGGAAGAGTGTTCCATGCAGCAAGAACAGCAAGTGTAGAGGCTCTGCTGAGATGGAAATGAGCTTGGTGTATTTAAGGCACAAAAAGAAGCCCATGGTGGCTAGAGCAGAATGAGTCGGCAGCGGCAGAATATGAAGTTGAAAGGTAGACAAGACAGGCCACAGGAAGATATTCATATTTTCCTCTAAGCACATAATGGGAAGCTGCTAGAAGGTTGTGAACAGATTCCTTTGGCCACCATGTGAAGAAGAAATCCTGGAGGAGCAAGTGTGGATGTAAGCATGAGGTGAGATGGTGATAAAGTGGTAGCATTCGAGATGCGATTTTTGAAAGTAAAATAAAGAGGACTTAGTGGAGAACTGAATGTGGTGGGAAAGGGAAAAGGAATCACCAATGATGACTACAGGGTTTTGCACTGAGCACGGTTCACCAGGTACCATTAACAAAAATTAGGAAAACTGGAAGATGAGCAGATTGGGAGAGAATTTATGGAAATAGGTGCCGAATTTATGGAAATAGGTGCTGCTATTAACATTCGCATTTTACAGATTAATAAGCAAGTTTAAAGAGGTCGAATAACCGATCCGAGTTCACTTAACTGGTGTTATTACTAATTCCTTTCGCATTTATTTTTACCCTCACAGCACCCCTTTATTATCATCTCCAATTTACAGGTAAGGAAATTGAGGCCCAGGAATGGGAAGGCCAAACACAGAAAGTGGCAGAGCCTAGACGTCAGATACGTCTAATAATAGATATATTTTCCCAATAAAGGAGACAGGCTAGGAGACTGATAAGGAAAACTAGGAGGCCAGGTATAAGAGAAAGGATCTGGGCTTTGAACAAAACCGCACCCTCAGATTCTCTTTCAGTGTTCTGAAATTCCCCCAAGAAAAACTCCAGGAGAAACTCCCTTCGCTGGGAGCTGCTGAGAGAACCACACATGTCCACTGTAGGAAAGTGGTTCCTGAGTCCCGCCTCAAAATCACAATTGTTAATTAAAATGCAGATTCCCAGGCTCCCGCGTAGACGCACTTGTACAATCTGTGGAGGCGAGACCTAGAAGTTTTTTTTAAATAGCGCTCCTGGCCAGACGCGGTGGCTCACGCCTGTAATCCTAGCACTCTGGGAGGCCGAGGTGGGATCTTTTGAGGTCAGGAGTTCCAGACCAGCCTGAGCAAGAGTGAAACCCCGTCTCTACCAAAAATAGAAAAAATTAGCAGGGCGTGGTGGGCACACCTGCAGTCCCAGCTACTCAGGAGGCTGAGGCAGGAGGATAGCTTGAGCCCAGGAGTTTGAGGCTGCACTCAGCTACGATGACGCCACCGCGCTCTGGCCTGGGTGACAGGGTGAAACTGTCTCAAAAAAAAAAAAAGAAAGCGCTCCATTAATCTTCGTCATACAATCAAGTTTGAGAATTGTAGAAACACGGTTTGAACCCCGTAAACTAACAGTCTGAACTAAGCCGACCACTTTACACCGCTGAGCCTGTTTCCACAGCTATTAAAAAGGACGGAGTGATAAAAGGCGCAGCCTGAGACACCCGCCCGGCCCCTGCTGTGAGAACCAAGCCAGGCGATTGGTTAAAGCGGGCGGCAGCCGCGGGTCATTGTGGGACACAGAGGGCCGGAGCGTCCCGTGAAGCTTTGTGGGACACAGAGGGGCGGCCAGCCGCTCCCCGCCTCCCGCTTCGATTGCACGGCCGCCACGTTTCAATAATGAACGCCCTTTTAGGGCGTCCCCGGATGCGGCCTGACTTAACCATAACCACCCTTTCGCGTCTTGGTCCCTCGGAGTCTATAGAGGACAACCTGCGAAGCCTAGTGACGGATTTCCGGGTGCACCTTCGCTTTACGACTCGTGCGCTCTTCCGCCGAACCCGGAGGAAGTTGGAGAGGTTTACGACAGCGCCGGTCGTGTTTACGGCGCCGCCTACTGCGCGCGCATATCCTCTCCTTTACCGGTTTATGGAGTGCAGCTGGTAACGCGGCCTCTGGCTCGGACCATCTGTTGTCATCCCGGCCGGCCAAGGCCATTGCAGGTGAGCGGCGTGTTTCGTAGAGTCCTGCGGACCTCCGGAGCCGACTTGGACGAGGCCCGGTCTTTGGGGGCCTCCCGGAAGAGACCTTTCTTACGTCCCCCACTGCCGTCGCTGTCTCTCCGCTGGGCGGAGCAGGAATCCGCCTTCTGGGGCCGGAGGTCCCGCACACTGCGGGATGCGGGGCACGGCGTGGCGGGTGAGGTCCCTGGCCCTAAACTCCGCCTGTGGCCACGGGCTGGGCGAATTTGATCATGTCACTTAACCCAGCTGGGTCACAGAGCCTTCTTTCTAAAGTGACGAAAGACTTCCTGAGTTTCTGGGTGGGATATTGAGGATGTCGAGCTTAGCGGTGTTCGGCCCCTGTTCTGAGGAATTCACGATCCAAAATTTCCCGTTCCTTTTCTGTGAAATGTAAGGCTAGGATAGAGGAGTAAATTTGATCTCTGATCTGAAACCCATCCCACCCCCCTCCCAGGGACTGGTGGTGCACGCTCTGTAGCGGCCTGTCGGTGCCTCCCCGTCCTGTCCTTGTGGCCCATAGAACTGTCACATCATTGTAGTTCTCTCACTGGTTCCCATTTGCTCACCTTTTTTTTTTTTTTTTTTTTAAATGTGCTGAAGGCCAAGGGACTTCCTCCCACCCCATGATTCTCCAAGGAGATGATGCATGTGAAGCCTTGGGCCTGTTCCTTCTTGAACTTCTGACAGAACCAGATTTTTAAACCAGTGTGCGTTAAGACATCGTTGTTGTGTTGTTAGATATGGTCTCGAACGCCAGATCTTGCTAGGCTACTGCCTACCTGTAAGATAATGGAAAGAAAGCTGGACTTAGGGTAGACAACCCTGGAAATCAAATCTATTTTGAGATGATGAGATCAAGTGCTTGGTTTGAGCTTCAATTTTTTTACCTCTAAAATGGGGACGTGGGGGAGTTAGTGGTGTTAAAGTATCTAGCACAGTGCCTGACAGTTGGCGCTCAGTAAGTATCTATTTAATGTGAATTTGTTTTGAGACCACCACCCCTTTTCTTTTGTCCTCTTCCCACAGCACAGCTTAAGTTGAGATTTGGGGGATGAAGCTCTCAGGTTCATTCCCTGTTGCTGTCACCCAAATGTCATCTGTGTAGGAAGCCTCAATCTCTCCCTCATGGGGCAGTGAGGAGAGTTTACTAAGTTTAATACACCTGTGCCCTCTGATCGCTTTCCACCCTCCAGGAAATGTCTGTGTAATGGATTTTCCTCTGGGAACTCACCTTCTGAGCATTTTCAGAGGATTACAGTGGATGATAAATGCATCGGTTTTTGATAGGAAATGTCCAGCACCTATCTACTATAGAGCTCCTGGTTTTTATTCCCCTGAAAGGAGCTTTAGGATTATGCAGAGTGTGGATGCTGAAGCCAGATGGCCTGGGTTCAAACTTTTCATCAACTAGTGTTGAGACTTTGGGCAATTTCTTCATTTCTCTATGCCTCAGTTTCCTTATCTGGAAAGTGGAGCTAATGCTGGGTCCTACCTCACAGAATTATTGGGAGGATTTAATGAATTAATGCATAGTAAGCACTAAGAACAGTACCTGGAAATGTTGATGAGCATTTGACATATGGCCACTTTGGACCTAAGGTTTATGGGGACCTCCTCCACCTTCTGGCAGTCGTTTTGCCTGGCTTATGACCACTTGCTCGGCACACAGGATTTGCATTGATGACCAAAAATTGGAAGGACAAGAAAGTTGAATTTCAGGATATACTTAAAGATCCTTTTTTCTCAGCACTCTATGTGCATAAAAGTGTTTTTGCAAGTGTGAATATTAATTGTGGCATTTTACAAAGAAAGTTTTCATGTGTGTTAACTAATAAGACTTTCACAATGATCCTGTCATATAAAGAAAACAAGGATCTAGTTTATTTTATAGATAGAAAGACTAAAGCTTAGGGAAGCTAAGTATCATATGCCTTAGTGAAGGTGTGTCTGAAAACCAGAATGCACTTATTACACTTGAAAAAATGTTAATACATTTCATCAAATCTGAGACACTACCAAATTTTTAAAACACTGTTATTTTGTGTAACACTAAGAGAAACTACCAATTAAGATACAACACCCCATCAAGCATAAGATGCAACCTCATTTTTAAAGATGCTACAGTAAAAAGAGGGTGTCAAAGAATTAGTGAAATATGATAAATCCAGTTTGTTAGCAGTCTTCTGAGTTTTAAGTACTTATTCACCGTATTATTTACAAGAAAACATAAGTTAGTAGTAGCTCAACAGTTGAGGGTTCCTTTTTGTGTGCTGCTTTTTGAATTTTACTATTTATGTCTTCGTTTACCTCCTGTGAAGGGCTTTTGTATTTTAAGGCCTTTCTTCATGCATGTGCTACTCACATTATTTATATTTTTAAGGTATTGGAAGATGGCAAAGTTCATGACACCTGTGATCCAGGACAATCCCTCAGGCTGGGGTCCCTGTGCGGTTCCCGAGCAGTTTCGGGACATGCCCTACCAGCCATTCAGCAAAGGAGATCGGCTGGGAAAGGTACTTGCCTGTCAGCAGGAATCTGAATCTTTTCAGCTGTGGCTGCTGCTCTCCACGAGTCCCTGTTTCGATTTTATTCTTTCAAAAGCTTAACTCGTGTGTTCCTTATAGGGATACCAGCTGAGAAAGGTTATACTCTCTGGAAATAGTCATAGGAGAGCTGTGCACTTACAAAGGCATTGTGAGCCAGTTCTGCTGGTACTTTCCCACACTGTGTTCTCTCACCTTCAGGGGTTTCTGGATCAATAGAAACTTGCATGGTTGACCTGTGGGTTCTCTGTCTTCTCTCGTTGTTCTTAATAGGTTGCAGACTGGACGGGAGCCACATACCAAGATAAGAGGTACACAAGTAAGTGTTCAACTAACTACTCCAATCAGAGCCTTGGGAGAGTTGTTAATTTTTCTAGTAACCTCCATTTGAAAGCTTTCTGGAATGGGAAGGAAATGCTAACGATAATTCATAGCTTCGGGGGATGTAATCTGGACTTCGGACACTAACTACATATTTTAAAATAGCCCCAAAACTTAGACTGTTAATTAAGGAGATCTGGCCTATGATAATGGGGGTTTCCCTCCAGTTTTGAGAGAGCCAAACGAGAGCCAAAAGAGCCCTTTTAAAAATCTGTTGAACAACATTACCGTTTTGTGTTTCATTGCTTGGGATTTACTAAACCTCTGAAGCCAGTCAGTGGACTCCAGGTTTAAAACCTCTGGTTTTAAGATCCTAATACAATAAAAAGCTTTTTCTTTGTGCCAGTTGAGATCACTGGAAGTGGCTGCCTGGAGTACTGAGTTTTCTGGATTCAGATTGGCAAGAAAGTATATCATGATCCATTAGACATGTCTGATAAGGGAGCATGTGCCTGTATTTACCTATCCTATTAAATTAAATCTTAGCTGAGATTAGTACACAGTAAGTCAGAGTGAAATGGGTTAGCTTGAGTCCCTCTCTCTTGGCTTAGGAAGTTCTTTAGACCAGAGCTTTTCAACCTTGAATGTGCATGTGAATCACCTGGGGATCTTGTTAAAAGGCCAGTTCTGATTCAGTAGATCTGAGGTGGGGCTGTGAGTCTGTCTGTCTAACAAACTCCCAGCCAATGCTATAGTTCCTGAGACCACACTTCAACTAACAAGGCTTTAGACTCGTATGTATATGTGAAGTCTATACGTGGTAGTTAGTACACGCTGTCACTTTTGCCCCCAGATAAGTACTCCTCTCAATTTGGTGGTGGAAGTCAATATGCTTATTTCCACGAGGAGGATGAAACTAGCTTTCAACTGGTGGATACAGCACGCACACAGAAGACTGCCTACCAGCGGAATCGGATGAGATTTGCACAGGTAGTCCAAGAGCCAGCAACCTGACCATCTTGGGGCTGTTACTGTTGGCTGTCACTTGCTGCTAAAAATGCTACCTTGTAAATACTAATGAGAGAGGAAAGCATATGATCATGGGTCTTCCAGTGAATCCTAAGTCACCGTTGAGTGACAAATTCTGCTAAAGTAAGCTTGTACTTGGTCGAGGGATGCATTTAAATAGTTTAAATTGCTGTTCACCAGTAGCTAGGACATCATACCCATGGCTAAGAATGGATGTTTGTGCTAGATAAAAAGGTGCACCCGTGCCAATTGCCTTACTTAATTACTATATGCAGACTTTATTAAGTAGATGGTCCAGTCAAGCTGCATATTATCTCATAAAGAGTCAAACTCAGCAACCCTAATAAGACCCAGTAAACCTACTTCAATGAAAAATATCCTGTGTGAATGTAAGTCTAAGCTAATTCCAAGTAAAACCTCTAGACTGTTGATGCTATAGAATAAGAATAAAAGCACACAGTAACATGTGAAACTTAGGATTTTGCATCCTAAATTTACTCTAAACTCCTCCCATTACCTCTACCTGTTGGAAGCCAAATCTCCAAGATTTTAACATAGGTGTTTTTTCCTGATTCTCAGCGGAACCTCCGCAGAGACAAAGATCGACGGAACATGTTGCAGTTCAACCTGCAAACCCTGCCTAAGAGCGCTAAGCAGAAAGAGAGGTGAGTTTCACATCCTCCCAGAACAAAGAACCCTTCCCAAACCGGCCATACTCCAGAACCCTAGGGCCAAAGCAGGAGGACGGTTGTCTTCCCCATCATTATAAAAGAAAAAATTTTAAAGCCACCAAGCCTCCTTTAGCCTGTTCTCCCAGGGCCAGTTCATGACAGACAGCGTGGGCAGGAAACTAACGCCTGTGGTGGACATGCACACTGAATAGAAACAGAAGCCATGAGATGAGACTCTGGAGCTTGCCTAGGCTCGGTTCTGCTGTGGCACAACTCCAGGAAGCCCCATGTATACTATGTCCTGTGAGCCCCCTGGAGTTGTGTAGTACAGCAGCCACTCCCGGTTGGGGCTGCCAGTGGATAGTCACTACAGATGGAGTGAAATATACCCGGTCAGTATTTTGGGGGCAATATGCCTCTTCTAGCATCTCCATTATACACCCGTTTGGCCTATTCCTTTTTATAATCCCCTGTTTTCCGTAGTTCAGAGAAGTCAGCGATGTTGAGGGTTTAGCTAAAGAGAGTGGCAGCTTCTGCCTTTTGAAGAAGCCACTAACTGGCCGGGCGCAGTGGCTCACGCCTATAATTGTAGCACTCTGGGAGGCTGAGGCAGGCGGATTGTTTGAGCTCAGGAGTT